GATACGTACTCACAAGATAGTTGATCACATCTTTAGGGCAAATTCCTGAGGGATGTGGGAATACACAAGAGAGAGAGGATATGGTTGTCCCGATGGTTGTCTCGATGGTTGTCCCGATGGTTGTCCTGATGGTTGTGGTTGTCCCGATCGTTGTCCCGATGATTGTCCCGATGGTTGTCCTGATGGTTGTGCTTGTCCCGATCGTTGTCCCGATGACTGTCCCGATGATTGTCCCGATGGTTGTCCCGATGGTATTATTTGACAGGGAAAAACGCAAGAAGTTCGAAAAAGTTGCTCGCAAAAGCCCGTTTGACAGAAATGTTTAAAAAGTGTTGGGTTTCCTACGAATCCGCAAGAGCGCGCGGGATGAGATTTTGACAATTTTTTGTTGAAAAACCATTGGTTTTTTGATGTTTTTATGTTAAAATCGCTGCGAACACTAAGGTTTTGGAAGGATTTCGTCTTGCGCGCGCGAATGTCCACTTTACCTTATTTTTTGCAAGGGATTCTTGAAATTTGATTATATTAGAACAAGAAATGTCATTTTCTATTGTTTTTTGCAAGGGAAAGCGGATTACAACAAAACAACCGGATCCTGTACACACCCTCTTTTCTGAGGCTTCCTCACGAAAATGATGAAAATGTAGCTGCGGCCTAGGCGGCGCAGGGGGGGCGCGCACCAGGGGGCCCAACAATAATTATTCTTTAGAATAATAATGTTCAACAACAACAACAACAACAACAACAACAACAACAACAACAACAACAACAACAACAACAACAATTACTAGCACGTGGGGACACTCCGTTCTCACCAGTGCCAGGGTTTTCATAGGAGGCGGGCAATACCCCCACTTTGTGGGGGGGCCGGTTCAAGCTCTACCAAATTTCCAAACGACTCTTCGCCACCACCCACACCCAGCTTCCCGCCCTATGACGTTCGGACACTTCACTTCGTGGCATGCGGACGACCGTGGCTACTATTCAGGGCCCCGCGGCCGACGACGACGGCGTGCGCGCGCGAAGAAAAAACGAATGTGTCCCGCATGGTATTATTTGACAGGGATGATGGCCCTGGCAGGTGCGCAACCGTTGTTGCAGAAGTTCGAAAAAGTTGCTCGCAAAAGCCCGTTTGACAGAAATGTTTAAAAAGTGTTGGGTTTCCTACGAATCCGCAAGAGCGCGCGGGATGAATTTTGACATTTTTGTTTGAAAAACCATTGGTTTTTTGATGTTTTTATGTTAAAATCGCTACGAAAACTAAGGTTTTGGAAGGATTTCGTCTTGCGCGCGCGAATGTCCACTTTACCTTATTTTTTGCAAGGGATTCTTGAAGTTTGGATATGTTAGAACAAGAAATTTCATTTTATAGTGTTTTTTGCAAGGGAAAGCGGATTACAACAAAACAACCGGATCCTGATGACATCGTTTTACCTGAGGCTTCCTCACGAAAATGATGAAAATGTGGCTGCGGCCTAGGCGCGGCGGGGGGGCCGTGCACCAGGGGTCCCAACAATAATTATTCTTAAGAAGAAATAATGTTCAACAACAACAACAACAACAAGAACAGCAACAACAACATCAACAACAACAGCAACAACAAACAGTTTAAGACTGTTCGCCCTGAAAAGCTCCAGTGTTCAGTAACGCGTATTTCCCAAACCCTCGATACCCGCCCTCTTCGTCTTCGATCGAACCCCTTTTGGGGGGTATAGCTTTCTTCCCTGCAGGCCAGGCCCCGACAAGCGGCGGGGCGGCCGCGGACCGTCGGCCTGGCCAGCGGCGGCGCTGATCGGCGGGGCGGCCGCGGACCGTCGACCCGACCCCAAGAGGGACCGACAGGGGACCGACCACGACGACGACGACGACGACGACGACGACGACGACGACGACGACGACGTCGAAGACGACGGCGACGACGACGACGGCGACGACGAGCGAAAGCGAGAGCGAGAGAGAACGACAGCAGGGCCACGAGGGGCACGAAGTAGGCCACGAAGGGCGATAGCGGGGACACGAAGGGAATGCGTATGGGGCCACGAAGAGCGCGAACGAGCGGGGGCCACGAAGTGCAGATAATGCGGGGCCACAGAAGGCAACTATGGGGCCACTGAGGGTAGCAACTGGGCCACGTAGGACAGTGAGGGGGACACAAATGGCGACAGCGGGGCCACGAAGGGCATGCACATGGGGCCACAACGGGCGCGACTCCTGGGTGCCTGGGTGTCGGGAGCGCGGCGCTTGGGCAAATTGCAAGAAATTCCAACGCAAGGCCACTCTTCAGTAAGTTGCAAGCAAGTCTCCAGCGAGAGCGTGACTCCAGAGCGCCGGGAGAACGATTCCTGAATAAATTGTGAAGAAGTCCCAAGCGGGAGCGCGATTCCTGAATAAAATGCGAGGAAGTCTCGGGCGGGAGCGGGGGTCCTGGCTGAATTGTAGGAAGTCTCAAGCGGGAGCCGTTGTTGTTGTAACCCGGGGGCAAGGGGCTCAGTTTGAGCAGGAAGACCTCCCCTGTCAAAAAACATGGTGCGAGCGTCCAGGTGCACACTTCGATTGAGAAAAAACAGTATGCACCGGTGGGGGGGGATCAACAAGAATTTCTTCAGAAATGAGAATTCAACAACAAAAACAATAACAACAACAACAACAACAACAACAACAACAACAACAACATCAACAACAACAACAACAACAACAACAACAACAACAACAACAATCGGCATCGCAGAACCTCACTTCAGCCACGCGCCCAGGGACAGTGAATGACCGTTCGGCACCCTCACTCTGATCTCATGCTTTGATATGTTCTCTCTCTCTCTCTGTTGCTCTCTCTCTCTCTCGATATATATATATATATATATATATTGCTCTCGTTTTGATTGCTCTCTCTCTCTCTCTTTATCCGTCTCTCTCTCTCTCTGTCTCTCTATCTCCCTTCGCTCGTTCCCTCTCTTTTTCTCCCACTCACTCACTCAGTCACTCCCTCTCCAACTCACTCACTCACTCACTCACACGCTCACCATGATCGCACCACCGTCGCCATGATCATCATCACAATCCTCCTGCTGCTCCCATCATCGTCCGTCCGACTCCTCCTCATACATCTCCCCGCCCTCTTTTCCCTCCTCCTCCTCCTCCTCGGCTCCTCCTCCTCATCCTCATCCTCCTCCTCCTGCTCCTCCTCCTCCTCCTCTCCCCTGCTCCCCAACTCTCCTCTCACATGGACAGAAACAGGGATGATCAGGGGATAAGAAGAGGAGCACGTGCAGGAGGAGGAAGGGAGGGGGACGAGACCTGGCAGCTCTACATCCTACCCCTCTTCTTCAAACTCCCACTCCCCTATCGTTCCTCTTCTGCTTCATCCCCGCCTCCTCTCCTTTGTCATCTTCTGCCTCTTCCTCCTCCTCCTCCTCGAATCCCCCCTACCCCACCGAATAGAACATAATCGCCGCAAACACTGCCCATGAGGACGGAGAAGGACGAGGAGGAGAGAGGAAGGAGGGAGGAGCAGAGGGGGATGGGAGAAGGAGGCGGAGGAGTCTCGTCGTCGTCCTCCTCCTCCTCCTGTTTCGCCTCCTCCTGCTGCAGAGGTCCCTGGGAGTCTGGTCTCCAGGAGACTCCAGAGGCCCGCAAAGGCCAGGCCTTAGCATCTCGACAGTCGATCGTCGTCCCTCTATCCTCCCCAAAGCTCCTCGGGAAGAATCGGAGCGAACGCGAGGGGAAGATGGCAAAGAGAGATAGATGAATCAGTTCATACATCTGCTGCTGCTGATGATGATGCTGATGATGCTGATGATGATAATGATGATGATGATGGTGATGGTGATGTTGATGCTGATGATAATCATGAAAATAACAACAATGCTGATGATGATGAAGATGATGCCAGTGATGATGGTGATGGTGATGGTGATGGTGATGGTGATGGTGATGATGACTGACGATACTAATAATGATGATGATGTTGATGATGATGGTGATGATGATGATGATGATGATGATGATGATGATGATGATGATGATGATGATGATGATGATGATGTTGATGTAGCTGCTTGTCCCGGCGCCTCCCGGCGGCAGAGGCGGCCATGTATCGCGGAGCTCGCTGGGCGGAAGGGGCGAAACAAGCTGCACGCAGCAGATGTCAAACTCCCCCCCCTTGCCCTCTTCGCCTCGGTCGTCCGACTCGAAAAGAGAGAGAGAGAGAGAGAGAGAGATAGAGAGGGAGAGAGAGGAGGAGGAGGAGGAGGGGGAGGAGGAGGAGGAGGAGGAAGAGGAGGAGGAGGAGGAGGAGGAGGAGGAGGAGGAGGAGAGAGAGGGAGGGGGATGGTGATCATGATGATAGTGGTGGTGATGGTGGTGATGATGCTGATGATGATGCTGATGATGAGGAGGATGACAGGGGAGGGAAGGAGAAAAGGGGAGGAGGAGGAGGAGGAGGAGGAGAAGAAGGAGAAGGAGAAGGAGGAGGAGAGGGAGGAGGAAAGGGTGGATAAGGAGGAGGAGATTATCCTCCTCCTCCAGTTATGGTATTTCTCTCCATCCTCTCCTCCTCCTCCTCCTCCTCCTCCTCCTCTTTCTGAGGAGGAGGAGGGGAAGAGGGACGAGGAAAGGGAGGAAAGGGAGAAGGAGGAGGAGCAAGAGGAAGAGGAGGAGTTGAGCAGGGACCGACCGTCCCAGAATTCCTATAGGCCTTCCACGCAATGTTCTTGAACCCAGAACATGTTTTTAATAGCATAAACTATGTTCTCAGAACATGAGCCCGATGTGGTAAAACAAGACAGTCCCAGCCAGAAATGTTCTAAGAACATTTCGCTGAAACCACAAAAGGTTCTTAGAATATTCTTTGGTAGGCCTATAGCCTATAGGCGAGCCAGGACGCTCCGCCACTGCTTGAAGGAGTACGGAGGAAGGAAGAGAAGGAGAAGGAAGGAGGAGGAGGAGGAGGAGGAGGAGGAGGAGGAGGAGGAGGAGGAGAGGAGGGAGAGAAATACCATAACTGGAGGAGGAGGAGGAGGAGGGAGGGGGGAGGGAGGCGCGGAGAAGTCCGACCCCCCCGCGCAGAGGCCGCGCGCCTCACCCCTCCCTGGCGGCCGCCCCCGGCCTGGCTCTGGGCCTCGGAAGCAGGGGGGGGGGAGGGGGGACGAGGTCCATCCGGGTGGCATGCTCGTCCTCGTCGTCACCGCCGCCGTCGCCGTCGGCGTTCTCTTCCTCCTCATGCTCCCGATCGCGCTGCGGATTCCCATCCGCTACTTCTCCTCCATGTCCTCCTCCGCCTCCTCGCCCTCCCTGCTCCTCCGTTATATGCCGCATGGTCTGCGATCCTCAGATCGCAACGCCTATGGAACATGAACCCGGCTTAGGAGGCCTCGGTACTTCAGCAGTTGCAAGCGCAATCTGTACGGGCGAAGCGTGCAAGTGAAGATCACTAACAACAGCAAAAGCAAACACTAGACTAGCAAGGGCATTGTGCACACCAGGCATGCTGTGCGTCAGGAGATAAGGAGGGCACGGCCATCATCGAAATCTCATCCGCATGGGGAGGGCATCGGGAGGGGAGGACATCGAGGCGCTAAGCTTCATACTCGTGGCGTGCGGGGTGCAGCCAATGTGTAGCGGATGCTACGATGTTCAATGGAAAAGAGTCCCATCGACAAAGAAAACAGGACAAACCAGACAACATATGCTGATTGATGACGACAAGACGACCTACCCCAAACAACCCCTCGAACAACCCAGCGGTGATCCGGACAACCCAACTGGACACAATCCCCTTGAACGAGCCTCCTCGGGAATGTTCTTCAACAAGATACAAAAGGGCTGCTGGGTTAATATGAGGCTTCGTGTTGAAGAAGGGGGCTGCCGCACTGGTCTCGGCAGTCCACAATGGGACTTTGCCGGCGTGGATGTCCCATGCCGGCAGGCCAGAGCGGACGCAGTGCAGCGGACAGCGCGGGTATCGGCCACGACTTACGATATACCCCAAAGCCTCACGTGGCCAACAGTGGATGTCAAACTCGTCAATTGTGGGTGGTGCTGCTGCTATGCTGGGGCGGCGAGTGCAATGGTAAAGTATGGCAGACGGTCGCGTGAATCTCTTTGTGAGAGCTCTTAGTGGAACTCGGTCAACGCAACATGTTGGGTGTGGCTGGGCTGGTTGGTCAACATTTTGTACAAACTAGGTAATGGCTGGAGTGTCCGAGCAACAATCTACTAGGCGTTGGGCGAGGGGCGAGAGCTGGTGTCCTCCATCTCTCCCATCCCCTGCCCCAACCCTCTCCCCCTCCCACTAAGAGGCAGAAACAAAGGGTCGTTGCCGTTAAAAGTGGGCATGACATGGACAAGCTGGCGCACGCAAAAGGCGATAATGGAATAGGGCGGAATAGTTGATGGGAACGGAACGTGCGTGTCAATGAGGAACGGGAAAAGGATCTGTGGTTCGATCATCCCGAGGGAAGCACCACTGTGAGCCTCGAGCAAGCAAGGCTGAAGGCAATGCGATTACCGCATTGATTGATGATCAGCTCCCGTTCCTCGTATCTCCGCAAACGTTGAGTGTGGCTGGGCTGGCCAGTCAGGACTCCTGAGTCTTGGCAATGGCTGGGCAGACTGAACACTAAATACTGCCCTGTCAGCAATCTGTGCGGGAGGTGTACGCCAGTATTCTTCATTCCCCGCACTCCCATCCCTACTGGCTCTGCCCCAACCTCTTCCCGCCTCCACTAGTGGGTGAAACAAGAGACGGTGCATGGCTAAGGAAGATAGCGCAACCATAAAACTGCAATTGCGGACGGTACACATATAGGGTAAACATGCACGTTGAAGAACACGGGTGGAGACTCGAGCTGGGTAGCCAGCTTTCAGCCAGGGGGTGAAATGTTTTTGTTCTGGAGAAAACGTGCAAGGTTAGAAGAAGAAACATAAACTGTTGGTGCTCCGCGGGGATTTCTTGGATCCGCGCCGGACCCCCCTCCCGGGCGCGCGGAGCGCGCCACGGGCGGTTCCGGAGGCGCCGCCGGGGGGGGGGGGGCGGCCCGGCGCAGATCCAAGAAATCCGCGCGGAGCGCCCAAAAAGTTTCTGCTTGTGGCGTCTTGTCTTCTTCGCGAGGTGGGCCGCACCTCACCCTCAGTCTGGCTTTGCAGGCCGAAGAACGCGCGGGTGGAGGCTCGAGCCGAGTAGCCGGCTTTTTCCGCCGGGCGGCGACTGTTTTCTTTGTCTCGCGGCAGCGTGCAGGGCGGGCCTAAAACAGGGCTAGGATCAGGATAAATCGCTCCAGAGCGTTCCGGAGCGCTCTCAGAGCGTCCAGGAACGCTCTGAGAGCGGCCGCGGCGCCCAATACATCCTCCAAACCCGCCGATTCTTCGAGATTTCGAGTTATCCCGATCCAATTTTGTCCCGATCTTCGCGTCGTTTTATGGGTGCGTGTTGATCGTTCGTCATCAACCGTGTGTCGGCTCGTTGTGCGCTTTGTGTGCCTGTTCTTTCTTCACGCTTGCTCATGCTCATCCTCCCCATCCTCCCCATCCTCCTCCTCCTCCTCCTCCCCCTCCTCCTCCTCCTCCTCCTCCTCCTCCTCCTCCGATTTTGTCCCGATCTTCGCGTCGTTTTAGGGCCGCACCGCGCCCTCGGCCTGCTCGCCGCCCCCCTCGAAGACTCGGCAGCGCGGCAGACGCGCGGCCGCGAGGGGCGCCGCGCGAGGAGCGCCGAGGGGGCTCCCTCTCTCTCTCTCGCGGGCCCCGGGCGGAGCTCGGCGCCGCGAGCAGGCTCCCGACCTATAGCTCGAGGTCCGAGGGGCGGCCCAGAGGCCAGAGTAGGGGGCCACATGCGAACCCTGCCCCTGCCCCCCGCGATTTCTGAGGGGGAGGATGGGGGTCCACATGCGAACCCCGCCCTCCCCCTCAGAAATCGTGGGGGGTAGGGTAGGGTTCGCATGTGGCCCCCTAAGAGCCCCCCCCCTGGAGCCCACGAGGGCGGCCCGCAGTGCAACGTCCTGGCTGTCCTCACACAGCTCCTGATCTGCGGGTCCAGAGGCGCACCTCCTCCGGTCGAGGCCCGGAGGCCAGAGTAGGGGGCCAGATGCGAACCCTACCCCTACCCCCCGCGATTTCTGAGGGGGATTGTGGGGTCCACATGTGAACCCCACCCTCCCCCTCAGAAATCGTGGGGGTAGGGGTAGGGTTCGCATGTGGCCCCCTAAGAGCCCCCCCCCTGGAGCCCACGAGGGCGGCCCGCAGTGCAACGTCCTGGCTGTCCTCACACAGCTCCTGATCTGCGGGTCCAGAGGCGCACCTCCTCCGGTCGAGGCTCGGCGGGCCGCGCGGAGCTTGAATATTAACAAAGAGGGGGGGACAGGAGGAGAGGCCTCACGTCCAGGCCAGGAGGAGGCAGAGCCTCGGGATCGGGCGGTGCCGAGGACTGTCCTCGCGTGTCTTGAAGGGGCCCAAGGACACACAAATAAATAGACACAAATAACAGGATTCCCTATGTTTTCTCATACTTCCTGGGCTTTTGTCGTCCCCCCCATTCCCATATTCTCCCACCTCTTCTGGGGAATCGAGGATTCACTGTGTCTGTGTGCTTCTTTTCCTCCTGATGTCCGCCTGCCCTCCCCGAGGCGAGGCGAGGCGACGCAGCCGGCGCGCTGCCGCGAGGAGCGCGCCGCGCGGGGAGGAGCAGAGAGGGGCCCCCTCTCTCGCTGGCCCACGGCGGGCCTCGGCCGCGCGCAGGCCCCCCGACCTGCAGGTTTGAGTCGGGCGTGTCCCCCCACGGGGGGATTTCGAGCGGAGAGAGACAAGTGTTGAATCCAAAAATGCCCCCCCCCCCCCCCCCCCCGGGGGGATTTCGAGCGGAAGAAACAAATCTTCGATACAAAATGCCCCCCCCCCCCACCATGGGCAAAAATCGTCCGAAGATCGTCCCCTGACGTTTTTTTTTGTTTTTTTTGCTATGTTGGGATGCTCCCCCTTGTGGAGGGGCAGGCCCGACTTATGCCTGTAGGTCCGAGGAGCGGCCCGAAAGCCAGAGACCCCCCCCCCCCGAGCCCGGGGCGGTCCGGAGCTCGACGCCCCGATGCAAGACGAGCGCGCTGCACTGCTCGCAGGAGGTCGCTGCTCGCAAGTGGCCTGGATTCGCCGCGAGGGACCTGCGATACATCACCTCGAAGCGGACATGCATTAACGGGCGAAGAACGGTATAAGATAAACTTTTTCGCCGTCGGGGACACCTCCCCCAGGGCGGCTGGAAAATTTACACCCTTACGGTGCCACCGTAAGGGTATAAACTTTCCAGCCGCCCAGGGGCAGGTGTCCCCGACGGCGAAAAAGTTTATTTTATACCGTTCTTCGCCCGTTAAATGTATTTTTTTGTTCGGGCGTTTGCGAGTAGGCCGTTTGCGGGGAGTGGAGCGCGCTCGGCGATTGACTGTCCTCACAGGCAGTGCGGGCGCGGCCGCACGAAACCCTCGCAAGAAACCCAGCCCTGAAAACCCGCGCGCGAGGGTGCACCTGAAAGGAAGCCCGGAGCGCCCTGAACGCAGCCGCTCCTTCCCTGGCTGCGTGAGGCCCCCGCGCGGCGCGCGGAGCGAAGAAACCCAGGATACCCTGACGAAAAGCAGATGGTTTCTCGATGCGCGCCCCCACTGTACGTCATACTAATGCGTTTGTTGTTGGGGGGGGCACGAATGCCCGGAGGGCCCGCACGGGGTGAGCTCCAGCACAGGGACCCGTGGGAGGGTGGCCGCACTCGGAGCTGCCGGGTCACGACGAGGGGTGGCTGGTAGCAGAGTCCAAGGCAGAGCCCGCAGACTAGAGATCTGACGCACTGGATCCATTCCCCTCCTCATCTCCATACACCTCATCGGTCCCGCTGCAGCGTGAGAAGAAGGACCGGGAAAGACGTGGTGTCGCTTAAAACGCACCCTGAATCGGGGTCCCGGTGATCTCCTGCTCCTCCTGCTCCTCCTCCTCTTCCAATCCCCTCGCTTTCCTCCTGCCCCAGCCCATTCCCCCCCCCCCCCCCCCTCCCTCCTCCTACATCTCCTCCATCTCCTCCTTCTCCTCCTTCTCCTCCTCCTCCTCCTCCTCCTCCTCCTGCTGCTCCTGCTCCTCCTCTTCCTCCTCCTCCTCCTCCTCTTCCTCCTCCTCCTCCTCCTCCTCCTCCTCGGTCATCCTTCCGCGTCTCGCCTTCCTCCAAACCTGTCCAAACCTCCCCTCGAGCGTGAGCAGGAGGAGGGCGAGGAGGGTGAGGCGGCGGGAGGAGAGAGATGACGATGCGAGAGGAAGCAGCAGCAGACGCGGAACGCCAGAGTCGTGCGCGATCCGATGGGAAGCCCGCTAGCGCTTATGGGGGCATGCCGTGGAGACCGTAGCAACGATGACAATGTAAGAGGAAAGGGGAATGGGGTTATGATGTTCCAACCTACCTTAGCCTGAATCACCAGAAGGAATGTCGAGCACCAAGGAAATACCCAAAAATCGAGGGTTTGCACGTGTCGGGCCCTGGGAGACACTCGTTCGACACTGTTTCGGCACTTTCCCGGGTGCTCGGCATTATTTCTGGGATGTGGTCCTGAAGTACGATGGGAGCGACATAAGACTGGGGAGGAAGAACACGTACCCGCGAATGAGGCGAGGGTGACAGTCGACAACAATCCACCCTCCATCCGCGCCGCGGTTGTAGATTCTATGGCCGGCGCCGCACTGCCGACCCCTTGGGGGTCCATGGTTTCCCGAACGAGAGTCATCCAAAGCGTCCCGCCAGCCAGTGCGAGGAAGAGGAGGAAGAAGAGGGGCAAGGAGCACGAGGAGGTAAAGGAGGACGTCGGGGAGGCGGGGGAGCAGGAGGAGACGTCTTGGCGACGTGTCCTGTGCGTCAGCCGGTGGCCTTCTGCGCTTGCGAAGGGCCCGTCGCATCTTGTCCGCCCCCCCCCCTTTCCTAGAGCTACCTCTGAAGCCTCTCGGGAGCCGCTTGAGAGCCTCTGGGAGGTTCTTCTGGGCCTCTCGGCAGCCTCTTGGAGGCTGCTCGGGGCCCTCCTCGGCCGTCTCGGGCGCCTCTTGGGCCATCTCTGGCGCCTCGTTGGCCTTCTGGGGGCCACCCTGGGCCGTCGCGAGCCCCTTCTGAGGCCTGGAGCTGCCTGGGGACTCTCGGAGGGGCGCGTGGGGCGACCTTGGAGGCTTCGTGGCCGTCGTGAGCGCTGTGAGGACGAAGAAGGCGAAGACACTGAAAATGCGAGTTCTTTCGTCCGAGAATGGGGCGATGTTTGCTTCTGTGGGGTCCTGTCGAGGGTCTTCTTCGGGCCCTCTGGAGGCGTCTTCGAGGCTCCTGTGTCTGTCTTGAGGCCACCTTGAGGCGCCTGTGTGCTGTTGGGGGCCTCGTAGAGACCGTTTTGTTGAGTCGTCGGGGCACCTCGTTAGGTTCGTTTCACAGCCATACGAGACCATCCAGGAGAAGGAGGAGGAGGACGAGGAGGAGGAGGAGGAGGAGGAAGAGGGAGGAGAAAGGAGGAGGAAGAGGGAGGAGAAAGGAGGAGGAGGAGGAGGAGGAGGAGGAGGAGGAGGAGGAGAGGGGAGGAGGAGCATGTCTGGCAATGATGAAGCCCCTGGCCCCTTGCTTGACCCCCCCTCCAAACTGGCTTGCCTTGGCTCCCAGGGGAGGGGTTTGGGGAGGGGCATCAATCTCACGCCCCGAGTAGTCCCCAAGGGATCGGCGAAACTTGCAAGATGAATTCGCGCGGCGCCGAAACGAGAACCACAACTTGAAAACAATCCGACAATCATCCGTGGACTGGTTGAAATCTCATTTCAACATCATGTGAACAACTCTCTGGCGAAACGCCCTACCCGCTCAACCGACACGTCGGGTGGTGCGACAAAGAGGAACTTTTTATATGGGGCCTGGATGGAAAGGGGGGGAGACCGAGGATGAAGCTTAAGAAGAGGAAGCAAGAAACGGAGGAGGCCGAGGAGGCCAAGGGGAAAGAGGGGTGGAGGAGCAGGAGGAGGGAGGAGGGAGAAGAGGGGAAAAGAGGGGGAGGAGGGAGGAAAAGGAGAGAGAAGTTGAGCGGAGGACGAGTGATCATGGAAGAGGCAACGGTTATGTACGAGACAGACTTTTGAGCCCCCAGCGGGTGGGAGGAGGAGAGGCAGGAGACGAAATGGTTACTTTACATGGTGTGGAGGAGAATGGGGGGGAAGGAGGAGAGAAGCGGTGGAGAGGGGAATGGGGGTACGATAACGACGGAAGCCGACGTCGACGGCGACATCGACGACGACGACGACGACGACGACGACGACGACGACGACGACGACGGCGACGGGCGTCGACGGGCGCCTGCGCCAGACTACACCACGACGCGCGAGATGCAACCTTGGCATGAAAAAAACAGGTCCTGAGGGAAGCGGGTCATGGACCCTGGGGTCGTTCCTAAAGAACCAGCCCTCTTTGAGGATCGGGGAGCCCTGGGGAGGCCCCAGGATTGGCGGCCTAGAAATTGGCACCAACACCAACACAGGGGGTTGCCTCCGCAGGGGGAAGATGATCCTAGATTTCGGTGTTGGTGGTAATAGTTTGGCCACCTTGGAAGCCAGAATCTTACCACCATCACCGAGATCGGGATCGTCTTCCCTCGGTGGAGGCACACCGCCGATCTTGGTGTTGGTGACAACTTCTGGGCCTGCGACAGAAGCCCGAAAACCGCAGCAAAACCTCGGGACCCGCTTCGCCTCATGGCGCGTTTGCTTCATTGGCGAGCAGCCGTCCCCAGCGGCGTGGCACGGCCGCCACGCGACGACGTCATCGTCGGGCTGGTTCACCTCCAATGCAGTCAGGCAGCCTCTCAACCTCCAGGGGAGGAGTAGGAGGAGGAGGAGGAGGAGGAGGAGTAGGAGGAAGAGGAGGAGGAGGAGGAACGACTCCAAGCGAACCCAAGCGTAGTGAAGCGAGCAGATCCGCGAGAAGGGGCCCTTGAAGGTCAGCGCGGGGGGGCCAGGGCCTTTACACTGTGGTGCCGATGCTCACCGTCGCATGCGTAGTCCCACCAGCCTCTTGGGCGAAGATGGTCTAACGAGTTCTTGAAAACCGTCTTCCTTTCGGGGAGGGGTGCCCTCCCCTCCCCTCCCTCAGGTTTTTTGGGGCGGGCTGTGAGGTGTCAAGGCGCCCAAGATGGCCCGTGATGGCTCTAAGTTGGCCTCCATGGCCGCTCAGGCTAGCCGAAGATGGTTCAGGATAGTTTGCCATGTGCCTCCAAAAGGCCCGACGAGGGCCGCAAGACGGCTCCAAATGCTCTCGGGGCCCTCACGCTTGTCAGCGAGAGAAAATATAGCAATGTCGTAATCGGCCGTGTGGCTCCGGCACCACAGCCGCGCCCGCGCGCACGACGACGATGAGCGACGAGCGACGGGCGACGAGCGACGACGACGACGACGACGACGCGAGCAGCATGTAGGTGGCAACCTGCCCCCACAGCGCCTGTGTACACCACAATGCTCGCGTGCACCACAGCGCGCGTGTACGCCACAGCGCCTGCGTACACCGCAACAGCCGTGTGCGACGCAGCGCCTGTGTAGTACACTGCTGTGCTTGCGTGCATCACAGCGCTGGTGTACACCACAGCGAATGTGTAACACCGCAGCAACCATGTGCTACACAGCACCTGTGCAATTACACCACAAATCTTGCGTGCACCGCAGCGCCTGTGCACACCACAGCGCCCGTCTACACCACAGCATCTGCGTGCACGCCGCGCTGGTGTACACCACAGCGCTTGCGTGCACAGGACAGGCAGAACAAGCATGTAGGTGAGGATCTGCTGCGGGCAGCTGAACGCCACGCCAGGAGGAGTGTTGATAATAGAATGCGACGTTCCTCTCTTCTCCCTCCTCCTCCTCCTCCTCCTCGTATGCGAATTCCTATGCGGATGCCGATGCGGATCCCGATGCGCGCGGCGGCAGCGCCCAAAACGCACGGGGGGGAGGGGCGTTACTTAGGGAGGGGGGGCGGCGCGGGGGCTATAATGCCGATTATGCCCCAAGCAATAAAACACGCTCTAAGCTGATCGGCTGACCAATTGAACGTCTGACTGGCTGACCGGCTGACAGGCTGACAAGCGGACAGGCTGACCGGCTGACCAATACTGCGAGCTGACCACCGGCTGACCAGCTGACTGGCTGCCCGTTTGAAATGCTGATCGGCTGACCAGCTGACAGCGTGAAAAAGAAAGAATGAACGCGTTGACGGGCTGCCAGGTTGACAAGCTGACAGGCTGACTGGCAAACAAGCTGACCAACTGACCAACTGAACTGCTGACCGGCTGACCGGCTGACCAACTGATCATCCTTTTCCTGATCCTCATCATCCTGATCCTTGTCCTGATCCTACTACTCCACCACCTCCTCCTCCTCCTCCCCTTAATCATATTGATCATCTTGTTCCTGATCCTCCTCTTTATGATCCTCCTCCTCCTCCTCCTCATGAACCTGACCCTGATCCCACTCATCCTGATCATCCTCCTCCTCAACCTGAACGTCCTCATCCTAATGCTTCTTGCCCTGATCCTCTTCCTGATCACCCCCATCGAGATCATCATCCTCCTCTCCCTGATATTGATCCTGGTAGCGCTTCCCCTCCTTATCCACCCTAACGATGCTCCTCATCCCGATCCTCCTTGTCCTGATCATCATAATCCTCATCCTCAGCCTCCTGCTCCTCATCGTCCTGATCCTCGTCCTCCTGAATGAATGTCGTCATCCTCCTTCTCCTCCTCCTTCTCCTCCTCCTCCTCCTCCTGGTCCTCACGGTCGTCATCGTGCTGAGCTCGTGGTCCTCATTCTCCTGGTCCTCATTCTGGAAGCCTTCCGCCTCCTCCACCTCCTCCCCTCGCTGGACTGGTAAGACAGTGGACCGGAAGTCGAGTAGACTGGTGAACAGGGGACCCAACGCCATCATCATCATCATCATCATCATCATCATCATCATCATCATCATCATCATCATCATCATCATCATCAGCATCAGCATCAACATCATCGTCATCATCATCACCACCATCATCACCATCAGCATCATCATGAGTATCATCAGCATCAACATCAACATCATAATGATCATAATCATCATCAACATCATCACCATCACCATCACCGTCATCATCGTCAGACTCATCAGATCCATCATGTTCATTACCATCACCATCACTATCACCAACATCGTCACCATCATCCTCATCGTCAGTATCATCATCGTCATCGTCATCATCATCATCATTCGCATCATCGTCATCATCATCACCATCATCATCATCAAATCATTCGCATCATTATCATAATTGTAATCGTAATCATGACCAGCATCATCATCAACAACAACATCAACATCAACATCAACATCAACATCAACATCATCAACATCATCATCATCATCATCATCATCATCATCATCATCATCATCATCATCATCAAACAACCATTATCATCATCACCGGGTGACCGGGTGACTGGGTGACCGAATGACCCGCTGACTGGGTGACCAGCTGACCAGCTCACCTGCTGACCTGGCCGACTGGCACCGGGTGACAAGGTGATCGCATAACTGGCTGACCGGGTGACCAGCTGACTGGCTGACCGGTTGACCGGCTGACCGGGCGACCAGCTGGCAGACTAACGGGCTGACCGGCTGACCAGCTAAGCGGTTGATCAGTTGCCGGTTGAACAGCTAACCCGCTGACCGGCTGAACGGTTCACCGGCTAACGGGTTGACCGTCTGATCAGCTGACTGGCGGACCGACTGACCGCTCCCGGGCCCAGGGTGGGCCAGGCCTGCAGAAAGGACGGCGGGGAGGAACGATCCCCAAGCGACGGCTACAGCAGGAGCCCGGCCACAAGTAACCTTCCAACAAGAACCCAACCCTGAGACCCCAGGACGTTCATGGATTCTTGGTGTGGGAACGTCACGCTGTCCATGGCAAAACCATCGAAACCCAGGGCACTCTGGAGGCAAGCAGGGTGTCTCTCGGCATGGGTCTCCACTTTACAGGAGTGACCCCAGGCACGAGTGACCTCTGGTGCGCGGCGCCAGGGGGGCGCGGGGAGGCCAAGCCCGAGCGCGCAAGCCGCTGCTTTCGCATCGCATTCAACTATCTGGGGACCTGGTGTGTCCGCATCAGCGGTCCCTCCGGCGGCAGGTCGGCGGGGAGGAACGATCTCCAAGCGAAGCCCCTGAAAGTGCAGTGTCACCCTCGTGATGGCGCAGCCAGGTGGGGAGGCGAGGGGAGAGGGAACGAGGCGGGAGGAGAGGAGGCGTGAGGCGTGAGGAGAGGAGGGAGGCGGGAAGGGGTGAGGAGGGAGGCGAGAGAGGGAGGAGGGAGGCGGGTTGGGGGGGAGGAAGTGGAGGCAGGAGGGAGCAGAGGAGGGAGGAGAGAGGAGGCTACCAAGAGCAAGAGGGATGGGGAACGATCCCCAAGCGACGCCCCCGGGACTGCAGCGAGGTCGCCCTCGTGATGGCGCACAGGTCGGCACCGCCGCACTCCGCGTGCCCGCCAGCGGGCCGTGCGGCGCTCCGCGCGAACAGCCCGGCCTCCACGTGCCGCTTCTCCACGAGCACGGCCTCGATGCGCCGCGCGTAGCGCCGGCGAAACTCGATGCGGGCCTCTGTCGGTGGAGTATGAGGATGATGATGAGGAGGAGGATGAGGATGATGATGATGATGATGAGGAGGAGGAGGATGAGAAGGATGAGGAGGAGGATGCTGGTGGCGATGATTATGTGTTCGATGCTGATGGTGCTGATGAAGATGATGCCAAAGATGCCGATGATGTCGACGAGGACGAGGACGGGGATGATGGTAATGACGATGATGATGTTGATGTTGATGATGCTGATGATGCTGATGCTGCCGATGATGATGATGATGCTGATGATGATGCTCATGATGATGATGATGATGATGATGATGATGATGATGATGGTGGTGATGATGATGATTATGATTATGATTATAATGATGATGATGATGATGATGATGATGATGATGATGATGATAAGGCGGACAAGGACGATGACGAGGATGATGATGCTGATGATGCTGATGATGTTGGTGGGGATGACGATGCTGTGTTTGATGTTGATGGCGCTGATGACAATCATGCTAATGATGAAACTGATGATGACGACGACGAGGACGAGGATGATGCTGATGATGGTGCTGATGTTGATGATGATGCTGATGCTGATGCTGAGGATGAGGACGAGGACGAGGACGTGGACGAGTACGATGATGAGGATGATGTTGATGATGATGATGATGATTATGATGATAATGATGCTGATGGTGATGGTGATAATGATGGTGATGATGCTGATGAGAATGATGATTATGGTGGTGGTGGTGATGGTGATGCTGATAGTGATGGTGGTAGTGATGATGATGATGATGGTGGTAATGGTGTTGATGGATGTTAGGAGGAGAAAGAGGAGGAAGAGGAGCAGGAGGAGGAGGAGGAAGAGAAGGAAGAGGACGGCCAGTCGAGACAGCGGCGGCAATCTGTTAAGGCGTGGCCAGGACAGGGACATCATGTGACATGGACACATCGGGAACCTCTGAGACCCGGCGGTTCTGGGGGTTGTGCTGGGCGCCGCGGTCTTCTCAGAGCGTGGAACTTCTCCTCCTCCTCCTCCTCCTCCTCCTCCCAGCCCCGTCCGACCCGTGGCGTTCTTCGCTCCTCTCGGGTCTCCAGGGGAACTTTCTCGTCGCCGCGGCCAGGTCCGCCACGACGAGCGAGCCCGCACGGAGCCAGGGAGGGTTCCAGGACAGACTTGGGTGAAGGGGCCCCAGGACACACAAATAAATACACACAAATAAAACCATTCCCCATACCTATACGACCACCCTGCGGGTGATAAGGAGGTGAGGGGGGAGGGGGAACCAACGTCTCACTCAATCGATCTCGCTATTGATCTCACAATCGCTATCACATTCGATCTCACTATCGATATCACTATCGATCTCGCTATCGATCTCACTATCGATCTCACAATCGATCTCACAATCGATCTCACATTCGGTCTCACATTCGGTCTCACTGTCGATCTCACTATCGATCTCAAAATCGATCTCACAATCGACGTCATCATCATCATCATCATCATCATCATCATCATCATCAACATCATCATCATCATCATCATCATCATCATCATCATCATCATCATCATCATCATCATCATCATCATCATCATCATCATCATCATCATCATCGCCATCATCAACATATCGATCTCACAATCGATCTCACATTCGATCTCACCATCGATATCACTATCGATCTCGCTATCGATCTCACAATCGCTATCACATTCGATCTCACTATCGATATCACTATCGATCTCGCTATCGATATCACTATCGATCTCACAATCGATCTCACAATCGATCTCACATCCGGTCTCACATTCGGTCTCACTGTCGATCTCACTATCGATCTCACAATCGACCTCACAATCGACGTCATCATCATCATCATCATCATCATCGTCATCATCATCATCAACAACATCAACATCAACATCAACATCATCATCATCATCATCATCATCATCATCATCATCATCATCATCATCATCATCGTCATCATCATCATCATCATCATCATCATCATCATCGGGGACCATCACTATCGGGACACCGACGGGACACCGACGGGACACCGGCGGGACACCGCGCGCCACCGGCCGCCCGGAAGAGACACATTTGGTCCGGCCGCGCCTCAGCCACAGGGACACCGACGGGACACCAGCGGGACACCGGCGGGACACCGCGCGCCACCGGCCGCCCGGCGGAGAATCATTTGGTCCGGCCGCGCCTCAGCCACAGGAGACTTTCATCTCGCCCGCCCACGCAGCTTCGCCTCGCCCGCACGCACGGCACGCACGAACACGAAACCGAAATCGATTTCCCGGTAGGGGGGCTCTCCGTTCCACTTCGATCTCACCCCCTCACCTCCGATTTTCCCATACTTTCTGGGTTTCTGTCTTCCCCCACCACTTCCCATATTTACCCCTATTTTCCTGGGAATCGGCAATTAATTGTGTCTCTGTGTGTGTGTGTGTGTGTGTGTGTGTGTGTGTGTGTGTGTGTGTGTGTGTGTGTGTGTGTGTGTGTGTGTGTGTGTGTGTGTGTGTGTGTGTGTGTGTGTGTGTGTGTGTGTGTGTGTGTGTGTGTGTGTGTGTGTGTGTGTGTGTGTGTGTGTGTGTGTGTGTGTGTGTGTGTGTGTGTGTGTGTGTGTGTGTGTGTGTGTGTGTGTGTGTGTGTGTGTGTGTGTGTGTGTGTGTGTGTGTGTGTGTGTGTGTGTGTGTGTGTGTGTGTGTGTGTGTGTGTGTGTGTGTGTGTGTGTGTGTGTGTGTGTGTGTGTGTGTGTGTGTGTGTATTCCCTCCTGACATAGAGAGCCGACGAGTGGCCCCAGGTGGCCAGCGCAGCCGCTGCAAGCCCTTCGAGCCCGCGTGCTGCTTGCTGGCCCCGCGCGAGGCTCGGCGAGGACGTCAAGAGAACTCCGACTCGGCTGGCTGCACAGATGTCGGCGGTCGACACACCTCCCTTTAGTGAACCGCCCTCTATTTGGACGCCCGAGATGGGTACCGAACAAATGGGTACAATGCCCAACAGCAAATGTTGTTCCAAACCGACAGCGGCCGCTGTTGGGCAGGCGGCCCTCTGTCTCAAATGGGCACAGGCCGCGGCGGCGTGGACAGCAAATCCTGTTCAAAATAAACAGGAACTGCAGTTGGGCATAGTACCCATTCTTTCAGTACCCATGTCGGGCGTCCAGACTCTAGTGAGAGCGGCCTGGGACCGAGACCGGCGGACCCCGACCCGCAAAAATGACGGCCGCGACGGCCTCTCGCGAGCCGAACACGGCCAACTCGGTGATCGCCGTGTCAGGGCAGGAGGTCCGTCGACCCCCGACATGCCCACCCCGAGTGGTCTGGTCGTCTCGACACCCCGGCGGCGCCTCCGGCGGCGCCCCTGGGTCGCTCCGCGCCCCGGGGCTGGCGTGTCGAAGCCGACCCGGACTGCTCGTGGGGCCTGCGTCGTGGTGGGCTCGTTTTCCCCCGCCACCACAAGCAGGAGGGGGAGGGTGTCCTCCTCCCCCTCCTCCTCCTCCTCCTCCTCCTCCTCCTTCCCCCTCCAACTTCTGGAGGTGCTGGTGGAACGCAGGCCCACCATGCCGAGGCCAGCTATAGGACCACCCGGGAGGCTGCCTGCGCTCCGCCCGAGGACTCCCCGGGAGGGCCGCCGGCGTCTCGCGCGGCCCTCTTCCGCGCCTGGCACTGCGCGTCGAGGACTCTCGCCTCGGCCCGGAGCTCGGTCACCCCCGCGCGGGTCTCGTCGCACCTCCGCGGCGGCGGGACGGCGGCGGCGGCAGCGGCGAACGACACCGACGACACTGACGACGGTGACAACAGTGACAACGCTGACGACACTGACGACGGCGACGACGACGACGACGACGGCGACAACGGCGGCGACGACGATAACGGCGGCGGCGACGACGACGGCGGCGGCGGCGGCGGCGACGAAGCCGTCGACGGCGACGAACGACGGCCTCCTCCTTCTCCTCTCCTTCTCATCCCCCTCCTCCTCTTTCTCCTCCCCCTCCTCCTCCTTCTCCTCCTCCTCCTTCTCCTGGGGTTCCTTTCCAACGTATGTTCTCGACTCAGCGCCGCGCACAGCTGCCATGCTGCAAGTTTGCAACAGGTTCAAGGATTCGTATGGCTGAAGTCCCAGGAACTGTGTTCTGTCGCGACTAAAAATTGCCAGGGCGCAACACTGTCATGTTGATTCGCTGTGTTGAAGTCCTAGAAGTGGCGGGTTTTCTAGTAGGATGTAGGGTTTTAAAACGCAACGATCATGTTGGTTTGCGGCGTTGATGTTCCATGAGGAGGGAACTTGGGGGGTGGTAGTGCAACATTGTTGACGCGTCTTGGGTTTGCAGTGGTCCTCATCCTCCTTTTTGCTGTGGAAGACAAGGCGCTCGCGAAACACCAACCAAAGTCGGCCTCGCGATGTCTCCACAATCTGCTTGCTGGCTGCCGAATGCGGAAACCGCCCCGAAACCAATCAAACTTATGCTACCGGAGTTTCCACACTAAGAATGTCACAGCAATGCCTCAGTGGGCAGCGTGGTGGGGTCTCTGTAGGCGCGCTCGGGGCCTCAATGGTCTCTGTCAGGGGCCCCAGTGGGCAATGTAGCGGGGCCTCTGTAGGCGCGCTCGGGTCTTCAATGGTCTGTGTCAGGGGCCCCAGAGGGCAGTGTGGCGGGGCCTCTGTAGGCGCGCTCGGGGCCTCAATGGTCTGTGTCAGGGGCCCCAGTGGGCAGCGTGGTGGAGTCTCTGCAGGCGCGCTCGGGGCCTCAGTGGTCCGTGTCAGGGGCCTCAGGTGGGCAGTGTGGCGGGGCCTCTGCGGCCGTGCTCGGGGCCTCTGTGGGCTGCGCTGCGTGCGGGGGACTGGGCGGGCAACGTGGTGGCGCCTCCATGGGTGCGCTCGGGGCCTCTCTCTGGGCTGTGCCAAGGCCTCCATGGCGCTCTGGCGAGCCTCCCTGGAGGAGCGGGGAAGTCCCGAAACCGTGTTCATAGTTTGGTGTTCCGATACTCTCCTCGCTCTGGCGGAACCTCCCTGGGGAAGCGTGAAGGGCCCGAATGGCGTTCCGATGCCCACTTCGCTCTGGCGGGGCCTCCCTGGGGGGGTAGGAGGGGCACGAAGCAGTGTAAATAATATGACGATCCGATACCATCCTCGCTCTGGCGGGGCCTCCCTGGAGAGATGGGAGGGACAAGAAAACGGGGAAACAGAATGGTGTTCGGATGCCACCCTCGCCCTGACGGGGCCTCCCTGGAGGGGTGGGAAGGGCACGAAAACGTCTAAATCCGCCGATCCGGCGTGTGAGTTTAAGAAACTACAACCTGAGCTTCAGCTCTGCTGGGGGGGCCGGGGTGGCTCTGCCGGGGAGGGATAGGGGGGGGGGTCATGGGGTCCACCCTTTGTTTCCCCCCCCCCCCCCGGGAATCCCAAACCGCCCCAAGACGGGCCAAAAGGGGCCCAGGAGGCCACCAAGACGGTCCAGGAGGCGCCCGAAACGGCCCAAGAGCGTTCCTGGACGCCGAAGACGGCCTGAAGACGGCCCAAGAGGCCTCCAAGACGCCTCAAGGAGATCCCAAGAGGACCCCCAAGAGGGCACCAAGAGGGTACAATAATAAAGTTGCGAATAGGTTTTGAAGCATTTTAACATTATCGCCTTTTCCGTGTCAGAAGCGCCGAAGACGGTCCAAGAGGCCCCCAAGATCGCCCCAAGACAGCCCAAGAGGCCCCCAAGAGGAGCCAAGACGGTCCAAGAGGGCCCCAATATAGCCCTGGAGGCCCCCCAAAACGACCCCGAGAGGCCCCCAAGATGGCCTCAAGAGGGTGAATCCAAACGGACCCTTCTAGTCCTCCACCCCAAGATGACCCCAAGAGCCCCCAAGATGCCCCCGAGGCGCCCCCAAGGGGCCCCCAGAGGCCCCCAAGAGGTCTCCAAGAGGCCCCCAAGAGGACCCCGAGAGGCCCCCAAGAGGCCCCAAAGGCCCCCAAGAGGCCCCAAGAACCAAGAGGCCCCAAGAGGCGCTCACTCGCGTGCTGCCAGGCCAGAGGTGCTCGGAAGCGAAAGCGATGAACGAAGAACCTTCCACCCGTCGCCGTCACCAGTCGTCGGTCGTCGGCAGCCGTTCGCCGTCAGTCGTCGTCGTCGTCGTCGTCGTCGTCGTCGTCGTCGTCGTCGTCGTCGGTTCGTCGTCATTAACTCCTTCGTCGGTCGTCGTCGTAATTATCCCGCTCGTCGACCGTTGGTCGTCCGTTGTCGTCGTCATCGTCCATTTCAACAGCAACAGCATCAGGAGCGCCCCGGATCGGCGGCACTGGCCGGAGGCCACTACAATAATATGGTGTTCAGATGCCTTCCTCGTTCTGGCGGGGCCTCCCTTGAAGGGCAAGAGGGGCACGAAACCGTGTAAATAGTACGGCAATGCGATATCCTACTCGCTCTGGCGGGGCCTCCCTCGAGGGGTGGGAAGGGCACGAAAACGTGTAAATAGTATGGTGTTCGGATGCCCTCCGCGTTAAAGGCGGGGCCTCCTCGGAGGGGTGGGGGGAACACAAGCTTGTATGCTGTTCTGGTGTCCTCCTCGCTCAGGCGGAGCCGCCCTGGAAGAGTGGCAGGGGCAAGAAACTTGGAAAATTGCAGTTGCTGGTGAATTGCACACGCGGGTTATCGTCGTCGTCGTCGTCGTCGTAGTGGTAGTGGTAGTGATCGTCGTCGTCGCAGTAGTAGCAGTAGTAGCACCAGAAGTAACAGCAGCAGCAGCACCAGTGGTAGTAGTAAGATAAGTAGAAGTAGTAGCAGTTGTTGTAGTAGGGGTAGTAGTAGTGGTAGTAGTAGTTGTGGTGGTGGTGGAGGTAGTAATCGTAGTGGTAGCAGTACTAGTTGTAGTATTGGTAGTAGTGGTCGTCGTCGTCGGCGTCGAAGACTCGTAGTAGTAGCGGTAGAAGAAGAAGAAGAAATAGTAGTAGTAGTAATAATAATACTAGTAGGTAGTACGAGTGTGAATGTACTAGTAGAAGTAATACGAGTAGTAATACGAGGGTGAATGTACGAGTAGCAACAACCATAGTACTAGTAGTCGCAATGGTAGTTGTAATAGAAGTAGTGCCAGTACAATAGTAGTAGTACGAGCAGTAGTGGTACTAATAGAAGGGGTTGCATTTGTAAGGTTGTATTAGTAGTGGTGGTAACAATAGTCGTAGGTAGTAGTAGTAGTAGTAGTAGTAGTAGTAGTAGTAGTAGTAGTAGTGGTAGTAGTGGTAGTAGGAGTAGTAGTGAAAATAGTAGTAGTGGAAGTCGTAGTAGCCGTAGTAGTAGTAGTAGTAGTAGTAGTAGTAGTAGTAGTAATAGTAGTAGTAGTAGTAGTAGTAGTAGTAGTCGTCGTAAAAGTAGTAGTAGTAGTCGTAGTAGGAGTAGTAGTAGCAGTAGTAGTGGTACTAGTAGTACTACTACTAATAGTCGTAGTAGTCGTAATAATAATTCGCAGAATAGAAACAGAAGTAATGGTAGCAGTAGTAGTAGTAGTAGTAGTGGTAGTAGTAGTAGTAGTAGTAGTAACTGTAGTAGTAGTAGTAGTAGTAGTAGTAGTAGTAATAGTACTAGTAGTGAAAATAGTAGTAGTGGAAGTCGTAATAGTAGTAGTAGTAGTAGTAGTAGTAGTAGTAGTAGTAGTAGTAGTAGTAGTAGAAGTAGTAGTAGTAGTAGCAGTAGTAGTAGTAGTAGTCGTAGTAGTAATAATAGTCGTAGTCGTGGTGGTAGTAGTAGTAGTAGTAGTAGTAGTAGTAGTAGTGGTACTAGTAGTACTACTACGAATAGTCATAGTAGTCGTAATAATAATTCGCATAATAGGAACATAAGTAATAGTCGTAGTTGTAGTAATGGTATTCGCAATAGCAATAGAGACTCAAGATAATAATAATAGTAGCAGTAGTAGTGATATTAATTTTAGTCGTACGACTAGTAGTATGAGAATGGTGCTCGTAAACGTAAAACTGATACTTGTAATGATCGTGATCGTGCTGGTGGTAGTGATAGTAGTAGTCGTAGTAGTAGCAGTAGTAGTAGTAGTAGTAGAAGTAGTAGTAGTAGTAGTAGAAGTAGTAGTAGAAGTAGAAGTAGTAGTAGTAAAGCTAATACAGTAGTAGCAGTAGTAGAAGTAGTGGTAGTAGTAGTAGTAGTCGTAGTGGCAGTACCAATATAAGTCTTGACAAGAGTAACAGCAATAATAATAATAGTAGTGGTAGTAGTACTAGTCTAAATATTCGTGGTTAGAAACTAATAGTAGTGGTAGTAGGAGTCCTAGTGGTGGTAATCGCAGACAAGGCGTACACGTCGTAGTCGTCGTCGTGGTGCTCGCAACATTCGTAATCTAAAACTAGCAAGGAAACGGGTATAGTCCTAGTAGTAGCAATATCAGAAATAATACGGTCAATCGTAAAACATAAAAAGGTAGTAAAAGTAGTTGTATAAGTAGATGTAGTAGTACTAGTACTGGAAGTAGTCGTAGTAGTAGTAGTAGTAGTAGTAGTAGTAGTAGTAATAGTCGTAGTAGTAGTAGTAGTAGTAGTAGGAGTAGTAGTAGTAGTAGTAGTAGTAGTAGTAGTTGTAGTAGTAGTAGTAGTAATAGTCGTAGTAGTAGTAGTAGTAGTAGCCGTTAAGATGTAGTAGTCGTAGTAGCAGTAGTAGTTGTGTCGTAGTAATGATAACAATAGAAATATTAGTAGCCCTAGTAGTAGTCGTACTAGTCGTAATACTAGTAATC